ATTGGAACTATAGAAGTAACTTTAAAAATAATTATTTCGTTGTTCAATAAAAAATACTTTGATGTAAAACCAAATCGCCGCACCTGCGAGCTTAAAAAAATTCAACAAGCCTCGTTAATCAAATTTTAAAAGAGAATGGATATTAATCAGCAAATTAAATATTATTTAAAGTTATAACTGGTTCAGCCTAAAAGCTCACAAGGAGACTAAATAATTCCGAGTATTTTTCTTTCGAAAATTTATATGGAATTTTGCAGAGATACACAGTTCCCCGTATATCTTATAACAGGAGCTTCAAATATTGCTTAATCAGAATCTCTATGCAGAGTTGAGTAGTAACGCATTGACCAGTGCAAAAATAGAGACAACAAATATCTAGTGAAAAAATCCTAGATACATAAAGTAATCATTCAAATTGAAACTCTGAAAGACAGTAACATAACACTTAAATCAAAAAATAATAAAGAAATTTGAATTACTTGCGAGAAAATAAAAAATTAAAAATTCGTGCAGATCTATGAGGCCTAATTAAAAAATCGGAAAAAAGAAATTTTAAGTTAGCGGCGGACACATCGGACACATTTAAAAATATATTCTGGCTTTTCAATAAAAATAAATAATTGAGAGTTACACATCCAAAAACCCCGTTTTGTCATCCAACTGGTATCGTGAATTCAGTAAAATATTATGTACAAAAAAGTCATTGAATAAAAGGGATAAAAGATACAATGAGATATTTCTAACGGGTCATCATATGTCTAGTAAATAAATAATACACAACTGGATATGCTAAGACACCGGCAAGGATAAATAACCATAAGTATCATCAACTGTACTATCAACTATGCTCACGCCGAGAAAAACAATAATTTCTTTACATAGTGAACTAGTTTGGGTCAGGAGTTTTTAGATAGCCGTCGATCATCAACTTGAGCCGGACTCAAAGCTGCACGAAGAGTAAAATAAAAAGAGTAATCCCTAAAAAATAGCAAAAGCCCATTATAAAAAAAAAACAAGGACTTGACTAAAAAAAAAAAAAAATTTTTTTTTAATAATGGAGAGGGAAGTACAAAACCGGGAACTAAAAAACCGAGAAACAAAAGCCGAGAAAAACTAGCAGAGAAAAATCCCCCACTTAAAATTGGGAGAATCGACAGAATCATCGAAGGATACAACTTCCAGCAACGATAACAACACAATCTCCTGCAGTAAAATCAACTCAAAAAACAAGGGAGTGTTAGCTGAAAATTGGTAATCTATATATCAACAAAAAATTTGTTCTGCAACTTGTAAACACAATTGGCCCCACAAAAATTGCTGCTCTTTTAAAAAGCTTTGAATGAATTTAAATAAAATTGTTTAATTTTATTTATGCTAATTATCCCAACTTTCCCTCACCTAGTTTTCAGTCTACTTTCCCAAAAATTTCTGTACCTATGTAAAATATCCCCTAAATAATCATTAGTTCTGTAATGTAATATTTCTATCCTCATCAGTGTCTACTTAATTCTTCGGAGAACTTGGAAAAAAACTGTAATTAAAAATTAAAAATCTAAACAGGGAAATAAAAGAAGTAAACAAAAAATACATTAGAAAGAGAATTAAAGCCTTTACAATAATTACTTAAATGTAGTAAAAATAAGTTCGCTGCCGTCACAAAGACGAGAAACAATACTAAATTAGAATATAATACAAAAAAATATTAAATTTTAATAATAAAGCTCGGTCGGAGACTAATATAAAATTTAAAAAAAAAAAAAAGTCAGAAAATATTTTTGAAAAATCGTCGTTCAAAATTGTACGATGAGAAAATTGGAATAATGTCTTGGAGAATTAAAATTAAAAAAAAATATTTAAAAATAGACCTAAATTACCCTTATTAAAGGAAAATTAAAGTGCAACCCGTTTAATCGGAGAAAATTAGTTTAAAGAAAATCAGTTAATTAAAAAAAAGCAGCCTAAGCAAATCTCCCGAAATGTAGAACGTGGACGTTCTTTTCGAAGGGGGAAGGAATGCTGTATCCACCCTAATCAAATAAACAAACTAAAAATAAATGTTGCATTCACGTGCATTCACAGGCACATATATTTTGACCTCTTTCTATATTAAAAGGAATCCCGACCGTTATCAGAGTCCATCACAATTCCCGACTCTTATCTTAATATTTGTTATTCATTTGTTTACGCCAATCTCGACTTATTAATGTCCCCTATAAATACTCATCCAAAATGGTCATTCAGATATCTAATTAGAAGTGTTTTTATCAGGTCTGGCCAGACTCTTGTAATTGTCCCCTTTTCCCTCCCTTATATATATATTTTAATTTGTAAATAATTAGATGTAAATAAAGTTATTTAAAGAGTAGAATTTGTATAATCCTCGAAAGGCTTCGGAACCCAAACCCAACAATTTTCTTTTTCCATCCATTGTTTTAGATCTTTCCCACAACAAAATTAATTTTTCTATTCAAAATTAATGCTTATATTTCAACCGATTTAAATGGCTAATTAAAACAAACATAGATATTAAAACTGACAAAAACAAAAAAATGAAATGTTTTTATTCAAAAATGAGGAATGTGTTTGGATGAATATTGAGAGATTTACGATATATGTATTTTGTGGAGAATTGAAAGCAGAAAAAATAATTTCTTTAAACTTTCTAAAAAGATTTTCCCCTTTTTGCGTTTTATATATTTGTTAATTTTAATTAATATACAATATTTTCGAACGCAAAATAAATTTTAATTGCTTAATTTGTTTTTAATTGAGGGGAGGGAGAAGGTTTAGGAAATTATTTAAAAGTACTTGAATATCGTTTTTAATTGATGATTTAATAAATTATGGATTTTTTTCAAAATTAAAAATTTAATTGTTATAGAATGGCATAGATTTACTAGCTCGCTTTTTTCAGTTGATATGGATTAAAATAAAGCTAAAATTATTTTATTTTTATTGGAAAGGGAATGTGTACTTTTGCTTTTTATTTGGTAGAGTATTTTTTGAATCGGTCCATTTCATATGTTAATTGTTGATGCGCATTCAGTAATTCACTTTTATATTTTAAAAGTATTTTTGAAATTTTTTATTTGAATAATGATTTTTGAAAATATACCTAATAATTTTGAATTTATTTTAAATTTGTCCTAAATGTTTTTTAATTAATTAAAATCTGTTTAAAGGTTTTGACGTTGTTTTTAACTAGTAGATATCAGAAATGTCCAGTAGCTTTGTGTTATTTAAAATTCTGATTAAATTAGATTAAATTTAAAATTTATTAATTAAAATAAAAAAGATTTCTTTGTAGAAAATGTTCAACAATTTATTATTATTTATTTTTTATTTAATTTTTTGTTTTCAAATTAATTTTATATTTAATTCTTCAATAAATTGTACATTTGAGAAGATTAAAGAAGAAGAGGATTTTTGAGGTTGGAAACCAGAAAATAATATTTGGAAAACTGGAAATGAAGTTTTAGTAGATTCTGTTAATTATGTTATTCATTCTTCTAGTGGAGGTAAATAAAGAGAGAAAATACAAAATAAATCAGAATTATTTTAAATCAGAAGAAATGGAAAAATACAAATATTAAAAAAATCAGAACAATTAAAGAAAATACAAATAAAATACAAATCAGAATTTTGTGTTTAGAAAATAGAGAAATTAAAATACAAAAACCAGAATTGTTTTAAATCAGAAAAACTAAGCACAAAAAATACAAATATCAGAACAATTAAAGAAAACACAAATCAGAATTTTGTGTTTAGAAAATATTAAATTTCAGAATTAAATAACAAATAAAAATTATTTGTTTTAAACATTTATAAAAAAAATTTTTCTAGGCGATCGTTTTGCCTATGTTCAAGGCCATTATGGATCAACTTTAGAAGGAAAACTTTCAAGTCCATTAATTTCACCAGACAAAAAACTTTTACGTTTTAATTATTGGAAATTATCAAATACCCCTTCAATGGATATTTGTATTGAAAAAGAAGAAAATAAAAATAAAATAGAAAAATGTATAGATTCAATACAAGGATTGGGAGAGAATCAATGGATTTTGAGAATGATTGAATTACCTAAAGAAGAAAAAAATTTTAAAATTATTTTTAAAGCAAGGAATTTACTTTCTGGTAAATATTAAAAAATAAAAATTAAAATTCTGATTTTTTAGCAGAAGATATTATTGGAATAGATGATATACAAATATTACCTTCAGAAATAACAGAAGAAACAAATAATAAAAATCAGAATAAAAATAAAATAAAAGAGCAAATAAAATCAGAAGAAGAAAATACAAATAAAAATACAAATCAGAATTATTTAAATCAGAATATTGAAAAAGAAAATACAAATAAAAATCAGAATATTAAAATAAAACACAAACAAAGAAAATCATCAAATATTAAAAATTCTGAAGAAGAAAATACAAATCAGAATAATAATATAACCAGAATAATTCCATATTCTGAAATAATTAAAAATAAAAAAGAAGAGAAATTAAATAAAAATAATAATACAATTCTAAAACACGTTCGATTATCACCATTAATTGGAAGAAATAATAAAATATTTTTTAGAGAAGAAAATAAAAATATTGATAGGTTAAATATTTTTTTGGAATATTTTTTTGGAAAAATTAGAAAAAGATTTTTTTATTTATTTTCTTAGACCCAAAACAAGCTTATTTATTCAAAAACCTTCAACAACAACTACAATAGGTAAATAATTATTCGAATTACATATTAATTTTTTGTTAGAAAAAGTAAAGTCGATAGACAAAAGTTGTATTAAACACCCATAAAAGGGGTTATTTGTTTCCTCTGTCTATATAAATTCCACGAGTTCCGTAAATCCACTTTATACAAAAAATACTAGAAATGTTCCCTTCAGCCTACTTTATAGTGCGAAAGGAACAATTTATTTAAACAAATTAATTTCAAATATTCCAGAAAGAATTGCAAAGAATGAACAATGTACTGCAGTTAGTTGTTCTTTTATGGATGGAATATGTTTTTGGTTTTGAAATTTTTTTGAAATATTTGGAAAAATTTTTTAAAGGGATTTGGGCCCTGGATGGAAAAGTGATTCCCATGGAAGTGTTTCATTTTCAACTTTATCAGTTTCTTCTCCTTTGCCCTTATCTGTTATAGACCATTCTCAAATGGTTAGTGCTTTGTTTAGACCTCCAGTTGCTTCTTATGTTGATTTTGACCTTTGGCTGAGGTAACTTGGACTAAAGGAAAATTTTAAGATTTTTTAAAGTAATAACGTTAAATTTGCTGTTGTTGAACGAATAAATCCTTCTACACATTCTTCTAGTTATTTAAATGAAGATTTGGGAGAAGAAAAAGAAATTTTAAAATTATTTGAAAGGGAAGGAGCAACAGAAGGAGGATGGCATAGAGTAATTAATTTAAATTTAATTTTTTTTAATAGTAAATTGAAAAAATATTTTGAAAAGGAAATATAGTAGGTTATTTAAAGTTTAGTAATTATTTAGCCAAAATTCACAGTAAATTAGGTATATTTTTGTTGTAACCATTTTGGCTACTAAAGTTAGATAATAAGTAACAGAGATGGGTCTGGTTGAGGAAAAGTCGGATCAGCTATCCGATTTTAGTTAAAAATATATTAAAATAAAATAATTCATTAATATTTCCCCAGATTATATCTATTAGTGATCGGACTGGAAGGTCATACAATCTCTAATATTTATTATTTACTTGGCTTTAATCTAAAAATAAAAAGAATATTTTAAGTTTCGTGTCCCATTACGGCCATCATATCTTCCTGTTCGTTTATTATTTATTGTTGAATTAATTTTACTTTCAAAAGAAGGGGAAGAAGAAGGATTTGTTTCTTTATCAAATATTAAATTAGTTAATAATGAAGGGATTGAAATTGGTTGTCAAACATTGGAAGATAATAATTATTTAAAAACAACAACAATTTCTTTTATTAAAGAAGAGGGAAAAGAAGAAGGAGATGAGGAGAATATTAAAGAGTATGGTAAGAATAAATATTTTTAAAAATTAAAGTTGGAAATTAAGGGAATAATATTCTATAATTTATTAGGGAAGATTTATCTAAAAGTTCTCCTTTAAGTCTAACAATCGCCTAGATTAAGATTCTTGTAAAGCATATAGCTACTTATTTCCTAAGGCTGTGCAGTAGGCGGTTTGTTGTAATGGATAACACATCAGTCCAGTCTACTGAAGATGCTGGTTTGCTCCCAGCCGCCGAATAACCTTTTCCTCTAGCTGAAGGAGAGAAATAGTCTAGCTGCTTTACTTTTTGAAAATCTCTAAATCCAGTCCTAATTTTTATTTTTATAATTCAAGTCCCTAACAGCCCAACTTATTAAAAAAGGTTTTACTTCAGGAAACCTCTAGGTTTGGATTAATTAATTAAAAGATTATTTTCAAAAACCTTTTTAAAAACCAATTAAAATATTTTAAAAATAAATTTTAATTTATTCAAAAAGAGCGTAAATTATTATCGGATGCCGGTATAGAATGGCTAGCTAAACAACCAACACCCCTTCGATTACCTTTATTAACATTAAATGACATTTACCCCCAAACAACACCAACAACACCTTTACAAACACAATTTATTAACCCAATTCCACAACCTAAACAAACAATTTTTAAAAATTCTATTTTACAAAAAGGAGCTTTAATAACGACAAAAACATTTAATCCCTTTCAGGTTAATTTTAATTTTGAAATTTTTGTCAGAAATTGTTGAATAATTCTTTTAGGTAAGACTGCGAGAGCAGAAAATATTAAGTGAGAAATTTCAGAAATTCCGACTAAACTGTAGAAGGGGGTTTTGTGAAGATGGTGGATAAACATTCAACTAAAAACATTGTCAATAATTTATTTTCTTTAAATTTCCAGCCATTGTTTGAAGGAATTGCCCCAATAATTCCTCTACAAGGCAATCCACAAAGATTAACAGCATTAATGGATAAACAAAATATTTATATAACAAAATCGAATAATCATTTATTAAAACCAAAAAATGTTTGGAATTTAAAAAAAAACTATTTGGAAATAAATAAATAATTTTCTTTTAAAGATTTTTCCACAATTAATTTCGCCCTTTACAATTTTGAAGCAAAATATAAAGAAAGAAAAAAATGTAAGAAAATTAAGAATTAAACTAATTCGATTGGAACCAGGGCTAGATGCAAATGAAAAAAAAGTTTCCGAAAGTCCACAAGTCAAAGCAGTCCGCAATCCACAATTGCGTCCAGCCCTTATTGGAGCTGTGGGGGAAGTTTAGAAAGGGATTGGAAGATTATATAATGATTGGTTTATAGAGATATTTTTCGACAAATATTCTTTTTACACACTTTTTCAGTCAATCGAAGAACCTCTTAAAAATCAACAGATGTTGTATGGGGCAACGCCGATAGGAGGAACTTACTCAGAAATTGAACACGAAGAGGAGGATGAAGATGATGAAAGAGAGGATGTTGAAGTAAAAGAAGGAAGTCTTCTTCCATTTGGTATGAAAGAAAAAATGGAAGGGAATCAAGAAAATAAACGACGAAAAATTAAGGAAAATAATGAATTAACTTTAACACCAAATGAACAGAAAAATGTTATAGAAGATTTAGATGAAGATAATAATAGTAGAATGACTTCATTAACCTCTTCCCATCACAGAGGATGGAGTGAACGATTGGAAAAGTCTTTAGAGAAACGAACGTAAAAAGGATATGATTTTAAATATTTTAATTTTATTTGTTAAAATATTATTGAAGAAAATAAAAATGAATGATTTAATGATAGTACAATTAGACCTCCCCTTTATATTGCGTTGAAAACTATAGCATTGGAAACACCACACAGGAGCCAATCCGATTTTAGAATATTTCTGATGTGAGATATGGTAATATTGAGGTCTGACTGTATTTTTTAATCTTTTAAAAAATCATTTTTTCGAAGTTTCTTTGATCCTTTGAAAGCAAAAATAAATAATCATCAAGCTTTTTAAAAATAAAAAAATTTTTTTATTTAAAAAGAATAAAAATTAATTTCACATTGTCGATTATCTTTAATTGTTTAAAACGTCTAATATTTTTTTGTTGGTAAACAAATTAATTTTTTTCAGATAATTTTTTCAAATTCTTGATGTTTTCATGTTTAAGTGATTTTGGAAAGAAATAAATAAAAATGATTGGTGGCAGTGATTTAATTACTTCTCCTTCTTCATATATTGAAAAACAGTAAATTTTGTAAAATAAATACCCAATTTTTATTCTTTTTAAAGTAAACTAACTGGTTCTGATGATGTTCTTCAATTTGCGGTGGGCACCAATGTAATTTTACAAATAGAGCAACCCCAACAAGACAATAATTTGCGTTTGCGGGACTCTGTCCGTGCATCTTCCCAAATTTTGACAGAATACAAATGGGAAAGTAAAACAAATTATGCTGGAAGAATTCTTAGTTGTAATGATAAATTGGTTGGGTTTTGAAAAAATTTTAGTTAAATTTTATTAAATTTGAAGATTGCTTATCGCCTTTTCAATGAAACTACGGGGGAAGCTGTTCGAGTACTTGAAAGAGATCAACGTTTTCGTCATTTAATCAAAGATTTTCAACATCCAACGGTTGATTTGCAGTGGGCAACACATGCCCCTCTTTTGGCTGTTTTGGATGCTAATACAAATATTTACATTTATATGGTGGATAATAATGGACAGAAATTGTATTTTTTTTAATTTTGTTTGTGAGGAATGTGGATTAGGCCTTTTAGCTTTTTTCTAGGACTCGAAAGTTTTGTATCTTTTCACCTATTTCTACAGGGTAACAACACTCGAGGGTAATCTTTTGCTTCATTGGTCCCTAGAAAAAAATGAGGAAAAAGTGCTAGTTCGGCATTTTTGAGGTCTACCAGTAGGCAGTCAAGTGTGCTGAGTCCGAATATGAGCTTAGAATTTGTTTATTTCGAACTCTGAACCCGAATTCGACTAAGTCGGATATGGGGTAAAAATTCAAAATTTCAAATTTTTTGTTTAATCGGATTCGCCTCTTCGAGATGAATCGATTGGTATCAAAATTATTACGTTTCGACATCTTTAGACTAAGTTATGGTGGATGATTTATATACGGAAGTCTAACCAAGCATGTATTTAATTGATCATAACTCAGTCTAAGGTTGACAAAACACAATAATTTTGATATCAGTCAACTCAGCTTGCAGAGCGCGTCAGAATAGCGATAGCCTAATAGTTTCGAATTCTTACCCCGAATTCGACTTGGTCGAATTCGGGTCCGGGGTTCGAAATAAGCAAATTCTAAGCTCAGATTCGGACTCAGCACACTCGATTACCTACCGGCAGATTTCAAAAATACCAAAAAAGCATTTCTACCACATTTTTTCTAGGGACCAATGAAGCAGAAGATTACCCACTCGAGTATTTAGATCCCATTTTCTCCCTTATATCGTCTAGAATTAGTAAATATTTTAAAAATTTCCTTTCGAAAATGGGGGAGGGGAGGGAGCGGGGGAATTGTATTTATGAGTGAACTTTCCTTTGTTCTTATCTTAAAAATAAATTTAACACATTTTACTTATTTTCAGAAGCAAATACTTGATTATCATAAAAGAAGGTGATCACACAAATAAAGGGCCTGCTCGTCTTGTTTGGTGTCCTTATATATCTGATGATGGAAGCGAAAATGGAGAACATGAAGAAATTCATTTACTTGGAGTTGTACAGGTTTATTCTTCTTTCATGGTTTATAAATTATCTCGTTTACTTTTAAGGGTCAACAAATAACTTTATTCATGTTAAACAAAATTAGAGAAGAAATTGGCCGTACTGAAGTTACTTATGAACGAATTAGAGAACTTAAAGGTGTAATGACGAGTGTCCAAATTGAATCAGTTTGTTTTTTTAAACATTTTATGTGTGGGGGGGGGGGGGGGGGGGGTGTTCTCATAAACTTGAAATTTAATTGAAATGTACAAGTCACAATTTCAACATAACCGTAAATTTCTCCGAAGTCCATACCATTCATTTTACGCTTCAATTTTAATTAATTTTTGGAAATAATATAAATTAAATTTTTCAAAGGAAATCACAGCCTGTAAAATCAGTCCAGATGCAACAGCTTTAGTAGTAACCGGTTCAGATGGCGAATTGGCATTTTTTGTAATTGAACAATTTGATGATGATATACAAATAGCGAGTAATTGTCGTCCACTTGCTAACAATCCAATCGAAGAATTAATTTTTTTGGATTCTTTGTGGAAAACTGTTGTTCTTTCATCTGATAATGGGAGGCGTTTAGCTATTTTTGATTGTGATAATTGGCAGTGTATGGCGAAATTAAGATTTGAATCGCCGAATCAAGTAACGAGAATGGAACTTTTGGCAGAACCGAATATGCATTTTCTTTTTGTTGCTGACTATGATCTTTCTGTAAGAAAATATATTTTTAATTTTTAACAAATGTGGAACAGCAATTCCTTCCTTCTTCATTTTTGGTTATATTTTGTCAAGCAATAACATCTATTTTTCACTTATATTGATTAAGGAAAAAAAGGCTGATATGTAGAAGGAAGGTGTAATTGCGACTTAAATAAGGGGGGGGGCGTATATCCAAAAAGTACCAAAAAATCTTAATGAATCTGTCGTCCCTTATTTAAATACAATAACTTTCAGAAAGTTCTAATTTTGGGTTTTAGTCATTTTTAATTTAACCTCATTTTTGCATCATTCATATAATCTGATTTAGAATCTTTTCTGCATCGAACTTACCCAGCCTATGCCGCAGCCTTCTGGAAAAATTGGTCCGCTCTCTTTTGCAGCTTGCACTCAAATTAGTTTTTGCAATCCGCTCATTTGTATTGTGCCATGTTCTTTGACTGATCATTGTAAATATTTTTTAGAGATAAATTTTTTAAAATTAAAATTTTTTAGCTGCTGATTTATCTCTAGAAGATGAAGATCAATTAGTATTTGGGGGAGATAATAATTCTGGAACAACACCTTCTACAATAGCTACTTTAATTGCTATTACACAACGTTCTCTTTTAGAAATTAATGTTGAATTGGTTTGAATTTTAAATTTTTTTTTCTTTTTAAATTTTTCCTAAAGGACCGTGTATTTAATGTAAATCCTTCTGTTGCTTCAGCAATTCCAATAAGTACTTCACAACAATCATCGAGAAGTCATCACATTCATCCTTCTTATATTTCTTCTCAATCGGTTGAAAATTCTGCACCAGAAAATTTGCAACAACAACAGACACAACAATTATTGGAAGAACTTATAGATCCAAACAATTTGGTTAAAAAGTAATATCTTTAATTTTTAGATAAATAAAGATTTATCTTCTTTAAAATTCTCTGTATTCCTTTAATTTTTTAAAATATATTATTAAGAACCAGTATGCCCTTCTTAGAAATCGTGATCATGTTTACCTGTCTGCTCTTTTTGCAGACAATCTATTTTTATTTTTTAACTCTTAACTTTCACCATCTTTTTTTGTATTTTGGGGAGATAAAATACCCAATTTCATCAAGTTTTTATAATAATTTAAGTACTCAATCCTTGTCTTTACACGACACAAATCGTTCTGCAAGACAATCATCTGCTGACAATATTGGTGCTTCAAATAATAAAAGTTTTGGTTGTATTGACGACGTTAATGGAAGTAATTACTACAGGAGTGAATGGCAACAACCACCTTTAAATATTAACAAAGAATTTTTTGAAAAGATGAATGAAACAATTGAAAGACGTTTTGGAGAATTTGGAGAAAAGGTTTTTTTGTTCTAAATTTTAAATAAATAATTTTAAAATAAAGATGGACGAGCTTTCACAGCAATTGACAAAACTACAAGTGGAAAATGAACAGTTACGGGCAAATCAAGCAGACAATTTGTCTAATGTCTTGGAGAAAATTTGTATTTTTTTTAAAATTTTGTTTTTGGTTATATTGAAAATTTTTAAAAATAAATAGAGGGGAGTTACTGATTAAATTAGAATATTTTAAATTAACAATCATTCTTTTCCTTAGAAAGTCATTGTCCCAACTACTTTAAACAAATTTTAATTTTTAAAGCAAATGAATTAAAATCTCGTGAGGATCGAATGCAGTCATTAGTTATTAAACAATATAACGAGGGAGCTGAACAAATTGTAAGAAGCACTGAAGCATTGTTGACAAATCATTCGGAAAATTTACAACGAAATATGGATTATGCTCAAAGACGTGGTTCTGAACAGATACATTTAAGTTTAGAACGAATTCTGGTCCCACAGGTTTTTAATTTTTTTGTTAAAAATTTGTACAAATATATTCGTGCCTGAAACCTAAAGGAGGGAAGGAAATTTTCCTGTTTAATTAGATTGATTATTGCTCTATTAGTTTTAGAGTTCTATTCTTTCTAGGAGTTTAGAGGGTAGTCTCCAAATTTATTTTTTGACTATACCGATCAGAGCTGCACGAAAATGAAATTTTGTCCCCAACGAAACGAAAACGAAAAAAATAAAATCATCAATGTACGAAACGAAAATAAAAATTTCATTTTTACGAAACGAAAACGAAACAAAACTCTCAATTTTCCACGAAACGAAACGAAAACGAAACGAAAATGTCTAATTTTGGAATTTTTAAATTTTAAAGCTAGATAATAAGTTTTTCGAGGTTGTACATGTCTAAATGCATCAAATATTTGATTGGATACAAATATTTCCTCAAAATCCTCTGATATCACTTCAAATACTTTGATATCTACTTGATCCATTATATTTTCTGATATTTTTTAGGAGGTAAGAAATATATCGGGTGATTTTGAGTAATTAAAAGGAAGTGTGTGGATATTATCAAGTGGATTAGGTTGAGATATTTAGGATTTAGAGGCGATATTAACCTCCGATATCCGCATTAATCCGCAAAAATCCTCTAATGTTCTTTGAATCCCTGTATCCCTCTTAGTCTCTATCCCTATAGTCTAATAAATTTTCTGATTGCAGCGCTTTTTTATGAATTTCTAGTCCCTGGAGGTAAAATTATCAACTTTTGACTTAAAAATTTGACATAGAACCCAAAAAATTTCTAATTTTACACCTTAATCCACACAAATCCTCCAACCTCATTTGAATACTGGTATGTGATACATAATTCTGGGGACAGATACATACATATTCGACTTAATCACTATATATTCATTTATTCTACATGTTTATTCACCATATAAAAATATCAAGGTGGATTTAAGCGATATCAGAGGAGATATCGGCGAAATTTTGGGGATTTTGGAAGACCAAACATCCCAATTTCTTCCGTTCTCAGCGCCGCAGGCAAAAATTTTGAGAATTTTGCCTTAAAAATACGATAGAAAAGCAAAAAAATATCTGAAACATCAAAAATATTTTCGTCAATTTTCGTCCAAAAATGGCATTTTACGAAACGAAAACGAAAGAAAATATTTTTTCAACGAAACACGAAACGAAAAAAAAGTAAAAAAAATTTTCAAACGAAAACGAAACGAAACGAAAATCGTAAAAAATCCACGAAAATAACGAAAAACGAAACGAAACGAAAATTTTCGTGCAGCTCTGATACCGATGATTTTAATAATTTTCAAAAATATTTTCTAGGTCGAATCTGTCTGTACCCAACTATTTCACCAATTAAATGAGTCTTTCCGTTCTGGTCTTCAAGAATTTATAGAACAATTGAAAACTCTAAGTAAACAACAACTAGAACAAATAAAAGTTGCAGCACAGCAACAACAGCATTATCAACAACAACAGCAGCAACAACAATCAGAACCACAACTTACATCTTTGGAACGATTAAATCGATTATTAAATGCTAACAAATTGAAGGAAGCTTTTGAATTGGTATTATAATTTATAAAATTTATGATTCTTCGGGGGTTTTCTACTTCCTCTAATGTTGGTCCAAGGATTATTCCATTAAATAATTACTGATATCTGTTTTGTCCTTTTGGGTTTTCCTAACCAAAGTCTTTTTAGTGCCTGGTGTAAAAGAACATCCTTTTTTTAATCTTATAGACCTACTATTATGTTGATTCTATTTTCTTTTCTAGGCTCTAAACCACGACGATTCTGTCCTTCCTGGAGGCGATCTACTTCTCCCGATTGTTTGTAAACGTGTAGATCCAGATACTTTCTTCTCCACTTCATCGAATAGTGCCGCTGCTGCAGTTTCTCCATCATCAGCTAATACATCCTCTACAACTTCAATACCCCCACCTCCACTTCCAATTGGGGCAATTTATCAACTTTTATTACAATTGGCAGCTAGATTGGAGACTGACACAGATTTAAAATTTCGTTATTTGGAGAATGCTTTGCCTGCATTAAATAATGTTTTGCTTTTTGGACGGCAATCAACGAGTAGTGCATCCTCAACTTCGGGAAGAACAACAATGAAGGAACAAAAAGGAGGAACTAAACAAAATACACTTGACTTGCGTGGAGTTATGGAGCGGTTGGGACAAGCACTTTTTGGTATTTTTATTTTTTTTTGAATATTATTGTTAGACGGAGGTTACTCTAGTCTCGATGAGTAATTTTGGTTTGAAATATCGATCTCCATAAGAAAACTAAATTTAGTACTTGTTTACCCCCTCTCCCCCAGTCAATTTTTTTTTGTAAATATGTAAAAATGGTCAGTCGGTCATAGCGCAGGGTTTTGCACAGGCGTCTCGCCGACGCCAATATGATTACTTTATATTAATTTGTCAAATATTGTTCAAATACGTTGACTTTGATGTTATTCGAATAAGCTCGACAAGCTCATTCTAATGTTTAATCGTATTATATGTTTAATCTAACATAAGTCTCTTCCCCAACCAAAATGATCTGGTGAGATCTTTGGATATTAAATTTTATAACGTTTCAGTGTTTGGAGAAAAAGAAGAAAATCGTGAATGTAAACGACGTATCCGACTCCTGAATCAATTAATTACCAATATGCTCGCCGTAAATGCTAGCCATTAAATGATAAAATGTGAAAGAAAGGATATTAAAATTTTTTAACTTTTTGTTTGGCCCCAATTTTCTGCAAAAATCTTGGATTATTTAATTTTTAAAAAATTTTTTAAAATTTAGGGTAATAGAGTCGTTTCCAGTCCCCTTTTTTCCTTCGTTTCGCTCGGAGAAACTGAAATGACAATGTTTTCGACTATCCTCACGTGTTTTTATATTTTATCCTTATTTTATACATAAAAAATACTGGGGTGCAAATTTGGAACATTTTTAACCTACACATAAGTACATATTTTTTAAATGCCAAAAAATAATCTTTATTGATTGTTTGTAGGCAAGAATAGAGAAGCAAATTGGTATAGAAGAATGCGACCATTCTATAGAAAAAACTTGGGGAGGGAAAACTGGAAACGACAAAATACCGAATTTATCTCTAAAATTTGGCAAATTTCTTTTAAACTAAAAAATTGTTTTTACTCGATTTGGCGAACTTTCAAACTTTTAAAAATAGAGATTTTGACAATTTAGTATGCTTTTCGCAATGATTTTTTAGATGAAATGCTACTACAAAAGTTAAAAAAGATAGAAAAATTTTTGAACTGTTAGAAAATATCGAACTTTTTTTTGAGTTCCTTGTTTTTAGGATTAGAAAAGGTTCAATATGTATAAATATTACAGTTGGACCTCGATTTTAAATACTTGCTTGGAGCATATATTTTAGATGCCTGCAAAATATTTACTATATTAAACTGAAGCAAACAAGCAATTCTCCCACTCTGAAGTCAAACTACAAGGGGGTCATTTCGCGGTGGTTGAAATTGTGTTTCCAATCATGTCTCCAATTTTTTCCTCCCTTTCCCCACTTCGGGGGAGGGGCTGGATACACACTTGAGCCAAACAAATATCAAACATCTATAATCGAGGTATTTATGTATCTAGGAACTAGTCCAACTATATTCCCCTTCTCGGCCACCTCTCTAAAAAACATTAAAAAGTAGTAATTAACTATTTGACAACATAATCTCTTTTCCATAGATATTTTTAATTTTCAACAATTTAAATAATTTTAACAAAAATAAACCACAAAATATCATTATTGAACATTTATCGAGCATCGTAAACCATCACTAAAAATTTAAATATAAAAATTTTTTTAAAAATTTAAAACAAACTTTTTCGAGTTCTTTTCTTGTAAAGAATTCTATAGCCACATTCTCGACATCTAATTGGATCTTTTGGACGTATTTCATTCTCTTTGTGACAATCTTTTTTTAAATTTAAATTAAAATTTATATAAAAATTAAATTTAAACCTCCACAAATGTAGATAACAGCTGAAATCGTGCCAGGATTTCCACCAATTTTGACTTGCGTGCCGCCAACAGTTGTTGCTGGAGTTGTTGATCCATCCATTTTTTGCTTATCCTTAGCTATGTTTATTTGAAATCTTAAAAATACATACATATTATTATAATATAAATAGGGTTGTTCACGACCGTTTTAAAACCGGAATTTTTGAAATTTTTTGCCAAAAATTAACCGTTTTTAGAAAATTTTAAAAACCGGAAATTTGTGAAGATTTTATTAAAAATTCCCCCAAAATAAAACCGGTATTTGTCTAAAACTCAAAACCGAAAACCGTGTTTTTAAAATTTGGATTAACCGAAAACCTGGGGTACCGGTAAATAACCGGCAGTGAACAACCCTAATTATAAAAATGAACTCAAGGGGAACGTAAAGAACATATCAACGTTTCGATTCGCGGCGAATAACAACATTTAAACGCGGCCGTTTAGAATGGCCGTTTGGGAATTGGCCGTTTGAGTATAGCTATTTTTTGGCCATAAATTTTGTTATAGTTGATCTTTCAGAAAAATTTATATAAGTTTCGATAGGTCTCGAGGTGATACATCTTTTTTATAATGGACTTATCTGATCTGATCACTCTACAAAAAGTTATCACAAACGACGTCACAGGCATAAAAAATCGGTTTTCACGCTGTAACTTTTTTGTGATCATCAGATCAGATCGAGCCAATTATGAAAAAGATGTCGAATCTCGAGCCCTTTCGAATGATATGAGAATTATTCGAATCGGTCGAATATCAGGAAAGTTATGTCCATATACTGAATAGGCTGATACTGAATCGGCGATACTGAATCGTCCTTTGCCGCTGTGGGTACGGCCCACTTTTTCGCGGGCCACTTTGTCGCGACCACTTTGTCGCAGACCCACTTTGTCCTAGAGATTGGAATTTTGAAAAAACCGGGCCCGGGAACCGGGTTCTGAAGGTTGACCGGGAGGGACCCGCACCGGGAAAACCGGTAATTCCCGTTCCCGGTTTCATCCTGTCAAAAATGACCGGGGCTGTATTTTTCCACCTGGGGCTGTATTTTCAGTATCCTCCTATACTTATTTTAAATAACCTCTATTAAAGTAAGTAAATGCCATTCGAGATTTATAACTTTTGTAAATCTAGCTGTCACCCTTTTTTAATTTTCAAATTTTTTTACTATAAAAGACTTTTATCCCAAACCTCAAAATTTCTATACCTCATAAATATTTGTTTTCTTTTAGTTCTGTTTAGTTCTGTGTTTTCTTTTAGTTCTGTGTTTTCTTTTAGTTCCCTTTTCTTTTAGTTCTGTATTTTATTTTGGGTGGTTCACGTGTCAAAAAGAATGATGAGATTGTTCAACAGGATTGCAAAAATCAATGTACATGGAGATGTTGATGTGTCGGTCTACAGATCAGTACGATCAAAGCTTAGAATTGCAGTTGCCTCCGTTCCGGGTCCGATTGTGAAAGTGTGCATTAGCTTTGGTAAGTGCCTCTATACTTTTTCACAAAGTAATAATGAGTCTTGCGTTTCGGAGTTCTTATTTTATTCATTAACTTTCAGTTACCGAAACGACTACTAATGATGGATTACCGCACACTCTGGAGCATCTGGTTTTCATGGGCAGCAGAAATTACCCCTATAAGGGGTTTCTTGTCGTTATCGGGAATCGTTGTAAGTTTTATGAATTCTTATATTGCGTTTTTGCTTGGGTTGAATCCAAGTTTTCGATCAGAAGCTAAAGAATAATTTGTTCGGAAAAGTACAAAATGATAGAGTAAAATTTTTTCTTTCAAAAGATTACCCATGCCCAAATAATGTTCACTTATTGTAGGTTTGGCTTCTAAAACAAATGCAGCGACATGTCAAGACTATACAGTCTATAGTACAACAATAGTTGGCCATGCAGGATTTTTAAAAATCCTGCCAATTTTTATCGATCATTTGCTCTCTCCCTTGTTAACGGTTATTAAATAATCAATTTTAAAATAATTCTGAAAATTCAGGACGCTCAATACCTTACGGAGGTTCACCATATTGACGGGAATGGTGCAGACTCTGGCGTCGTCTACAGTGAGATGCAGGCTAAAGAAAACGACATGGAGATTATCGTCGACAGAAAAAAAAAGCAACTGTTTTACCCACCTAATTCCAGCTATGCAGTAACGGCAGGTGGCCGATTGGAGGAACTCCGTACACAGTGTTCAGCTCAGCGGGTTAGGGAATTTCACAAGCACTTTTACAATCTCAATAATATGGTTTGTCTTTCTGATTTTTAATCGTCTCAAATTTTTATTTTTAGTTCATTACTGTTAGTGGCTCCATTAACCATGATGATTTGCTTCAAGCTGTGGCAAAAGTAGAAGGACCATACATCACATCGATTCCGAAAAACTTCAATCGTCCCTTCTCTTTACGGACACCGCCCATCAAAGAAGAAAAGTGCGTCGTTATATGCCCTGCCGATGATGATACAATTGGTATTAAATTTTTGGATTAGAAAAATATTTTCAAATATATTTAGGAGTGGTGGAGATCTCATGGTTAGGGCCTAAAGGATCTGAAGTATACAGAAATCGTGCACTTCTTCTTCTTTTTGATTATCTCGTTGATACTTCTGGGGCACCTTTGAAAAAGGATTTCGTTCAAATTGAAGAACCATTTTGTTCATCAGTTTCTATTTTTTTGCTTTTACAAAATGATTGTGAGATTGTTATGACATTCAAGGGAGTTCCTGTTACAAAGAGTGATCAAATTCGAAATAGGTCTGTTTAACCTTTATTTATTTAAAAAATGATTTTTAACAGATTTTTCTCAAAAACTGCAGCTGAGCATTCAAATATTGATGTTTTTGACATGGAACGACTACACTTTATGATAGATCAACAAATCAGAAGTTTTCGGCTTAACATGGAGAACAATTCCCACATATACATAGCAGGCACAATTATTGGTCACCAATTGTACGGCCCATCAAATGAAAATGAGCAGGAAAAGGATTTGGAAGAACGGCTTCAAGAGGTTTTAAATTTTTTGAATTGTATGAATTATGAAAGTTTTTATTTTTTAAAGGTACAAATTTTGAAACGACTACGTGATGAACCTGCCTATTTTTGGCATTCATTATTCTCTGAAACTTTCACGCAAAACTGTGTTTGTGTTATTGGCAAACCAAACAAGGAAGCAGTAGACGAATTGATGGAGAAGGTATTTTTTTTATATAATTTATTTTAATTTCTTCAATTAGGAGAAAACACGACTTGCTGATCAAGTGAAGTTATTTGGCAAAGATGGACTCAAAAAGAAGGCTCAAATCTTGGCTGATGCTTTTGCGGAAAATAAGGTTAATTTTTATCATTCTTTTAAATGGTAATTTTTCTGAAATTTAGGCAAAACAACCTACATCAGATGTGCTTAAAGATCTCATTGTAAAGGATCTCGAAAAATTTCGTCTTATTCCCGTTAATTCTACTGTTCTTAATGGCTGGCCTATTCACACAACGTGGCATGAGATTAAAAGTGATTTCTACGAGGTAATGTGTATTTGATTTGTGTCCTTTTATCAGTGATAAATAATTTTTATTTTAAGGCAAATACATTGATAGACACAAGCAAGATTCCTGTTAATCTTCGCAAATATATGATGTTATGGGCCGAACTATTATTCCAATCTGATGCGACAATTGACAATAAAGTATGGACTTATGACGAAGTCGCAAAACTAGTCACTCGTGACTTGGTTTCACGTTTTGTCTCATTGGGTATCTCAGGTTTTTACTCACGCTTCATCTCTCTTCAACTTCGTGTTGACACAAACAACTATCAAAAATTGGCCGAATGGACAGAAATCTTTCTCAAGAAACTCATTCTCAATCCGCAGCGAATACTTATTTGTGCAAAAAAATTAGCGAATTATGCAGCCGAGTACAGACGTGATGGAAATTCTATTGCTCATTTTTTGTCTAACTATATGGTCTATGATAAAGGTTTATTTTATTAGTCATGTAAAAAAAGTTTCATTTTCAGATTCTAACGAATTCATGTTTGACTGTCTTAGTAACGAAAAGTTCCACCGTTCCATTGCTTCATTGGAGAATGGAAAACTTGATTCAGTAATGGATAATTTAAAAGAATTAAACAACTCAATTCTCTCGTCATTGCTGAATTTACATCTTGTTGGAAGTTTTGCTAATCTACCACAGAGTGAACAAATTGGAAAAGCTTGGACATTTTTGGAGAATCAAAGGCCTAAAGAACAATCAGAAGTAATGGTTTTCTTTTTAAAGCTCCTACTTTCTTAATTTACTCATCTAAATTTATCATTTAAGTGCGATCCAGATTATGGTCAGAGCTGGGATAAAATTGGAGAGGTCAACGCAATTTCTGTCGGTGGGTCAGAAAGCGCCTTTTTGCTACGCAAAGCCAAATTCAACGATAATTGGAAAGGAAAATCAACAATGTCTGCTCTACTCCTTGCTCACTATATCTGCCAATCTGAAGGTCCTCTTTGGAATTCTGTGCGAGGCAATGGTTTAGCCTATGATGCGTCAATCTACATTTTACCAGACATGAAATCAATCACTCTAAATTTATATCGTTGCTCGAAGTTGAAGGAGGCTTATGAGAAAACGCGCGAAACAGTGGTTAGTTTTTAATTTTTAATTAAAGTTTGCAATAAATTTCGTTTAATTTAAGCTTTCTGTCCTTGATGGAGAACTTAATGAAGCCGAGTTTGAAGCTGCAAAAAGAAGTTTAGTTTGTAAACGAATAAATGCACAAAGCACAATTACATCTACGGCTACTTCCGCAATTTTGGCAGTCTTTCGAAATGTCAATACGGAATTTACAAAGTATTAATTTTGCTTTTTTAAATAAATATTATTTTTATTTTTTAGTTATCTATGTTCACAAATATGGAATGCAACAAAAGAGGATGTATTAAAGGATGGCTCACCTGCGATTAGAAATCTCTTTGATGACGAGAAGTCAGTTACAGCCATAGCTTCAAATTCGAGTAGGAAAGAGGAAATCAAGAAGTTATTTCCAAAAGTTAAAATCGTGAAATTATGAGATCTACAGTTGCCAGAAAATTGATTTTTTTGTTGTTTATTTTGTTTTGTTTATTTTTTTATTTTGTTATATAAAGGTTTATGTTCTGATATTTTTAAATTCAATTGTCGATTTTTCATTTCGATTTTTACTTTTTTATTTCTGTCTCAAATTTTAAATTTCGAGCTAATTAATGAACGATTTTGGGTTAAATTCAACGGGTCATATATTAGATCAACTTCCTTCATCTTCAAATCAACAACATCTTGTCAGCGAGGATTATTACGATTTGGATAGTATTTTAGCAATGAAAGCAAATGTTCATTGTGTATTTGAATCAGGAACTCCTCTTGGTTGCTTTTTTATTTTTTATGAAAATTATGTTTATATTTAGAAATCTTCCCATTAATTGGACAAAAGTTGCCCGAAGAAGGCAAAACACATCAAACTGTTGTTCCTGTTTGGTTACTTTCTGCAGGAATTGGAGATATTTGTCGGGTTAACTTCTTTTAATTTTTTTAAATAGAAAATTTATTATTTAGTTTAACTTGCCAAATGCTTTCAACAAAATTAATTCTGATGTTATTGCTGCTGGTTCAAAAAAATTGGAAGCTACTTGTATCGTAGCAAGGCAGCGTTATTTTTATTTGTTGGGCATCTTTTTGTGCAGGTTTCTGTCTTTTTACTGTCTTTAATGATTTAGTACCCTGTTACATTTTATAATTTAAATATTTTAGGTATTTGAACACCTCGGAAGCAAAAAGGATTTCAACTACCTTATTGGAGGGATTTACTTCCAGAATTGGACAAATAATTTCACTTGCTGTTGACACTAGGTTTAATCTAAATTTTTTAACATCTTGAAATTAAATAACCCAAAACTTCTTTTTTCGTCTCTTAAAAAAATTTTTTTAGAGTCAACTATAATGTAGATTAGGAGGGCAAACTAAAATATTAATTAGCTTTTCATTCCTTATTTACTCGCAATTAATTTATCGGTTTATATTTGGAAAAATAGTCATTTGGGTCTACACATCCAATATTCAATCTTATTTTATAATGATTTGATTTAAAATTTATAGTTTAAAACCTCGTGATCTACTTGATGAAAGTGAGAAAATGCTTTTTTATGCCATTCAACACTCTGAACGCCTTCAACGTGAGTGGGTTAGACGTGAGCTTTCTCATTCCAAACGACGATCAACAAAGCGTAAATTTAATCAAGAATGTGGTTCTTTTTTACTTTGATAATATATACTGGTTTAATTATTTTTCCCGCTGATTGTTTATTTTTCGACTTATCTTTTAAACAAAAATTAAGTTTTTGGGTTAAAATCTATTGCTACTTTTTTTTCGAAAAAACAATTAGCATAGACATATTGATGAGTATTTTAATTTTAGTTGAGAAAGGCAAAAAATTTTCTTACCAAAAAGGATTTTTTAATCGTTTTTTCAGAAAAAGTGTATTAAAATTTGATCTCTATTTTAATTATTTTCACTAATTATTTTAATTTTATTTTTTTCCGATAAATTATTTAATAAATTTGTAAAAAAATCTATTTTTATAAGTTTCTTAACAAATTTTTATTTTTATATTTTTATCATTAAAAAAGAAATAATGTTATTCTCAAGGTTTTATTTATGGCCACTGATGAAGATAAATTTTCAGAAAAATTTGATGAGCGTAGAAAGGTTGTTCAATTTATTTTTAAAAATTAATGGCCTAAAATTAAATTTGCTTTTCACATTTTAATTGTGTGAATTGATTAAATTTAGGCCTAAAATCAAATTTCGGTAATTTACACTTTCCAACCAGTTTTTTATTTTCTGATTGGTCTTATCTTTTCCAACAACTCTAAATTTGCTAAAGAAATGTAGAAATCCTTGAATTATTTTAAGATGACTGAACCAGCTATACGTCCAAAAATTGTCGAGATGAGTGCAGAAGTATTGGACACAAATCCTTATTCTCGTCTAATGGCGCTTAAACGAATGGTTTTCTATTAAATTTATTATTTTTAAAATAATTGATTTAAAAATTCATCTAACCCTTCTCGTCGATTTTTTATTTCTTAGGCTTATGAGAATATTTTGTAGTGAACCAGGATGTGCCGGGTTACCCGAAACCCTCTTTTTGCTCAAAATCCGACCCAAAGAAAATTTTAAAACCTGAAATCCGACATTTTACTTACAATTAACGCGAAATCCGATCCGAAGGAAATTTTGAAACCTCAATCAGGCCCTTTGCTTTGTGGATGGGCCTGGCCTCAATCAGACCCATCCCCGTTTTACATTATAAAATATTTTTTTATTTGTAACAATTTAAATTTTTAAAGGGAATTGTTGACAATTATGAACGTATCCGTGAGAAAACAGTTGTAGTTGTTGGTATTGGAGGTGTTGGTTCTGTTGTTGCTGAAATGTTAACTCGTTGTGGAATTGGAAAGATTATAATGGTTTGTTAAATTTTTCTTTAGGTTTATTTATTTATTTATTTATTTATCAACAAAAAAAAATGTCATCGAAAGGGCGTGCCACTTAATTCGACAACAATGTCGTAGCGTGGCACAATAAAAATAATAAAAATAAAAATAAAAAACAGCATATAAAGTCATACTAATTTAAATTATAAAAAAACACAAATTTGATATTATATTTGATTTATTCTTTAAATAAATATACTCCGTACCGACCATTTTAATGATTTAATTATTTTAAATTGTCAAAATTTAAAGAATTGATTTCTTCAACAATTTTGCTGCGTTTTTCGTTGTTTGTCATGTTTGCTGCAAAATTTAATGGAGAAAATTCAGAAGAATTGCGCTTAGACATTTTAGTCAAAAAATATTACCCAATTGTTTTAAATTTTTCAAAAGTCCTTAAAAAAAGCAAATTTGATTTAAAAGAGATAAATTGAGCAAAAATAAAAATTAAGAGAAAAGAAAAACTATGTTTTTAATTTAATGAGTCATCAAAAGAAAAATTGTATGGTTGAGTAAGAGACAATAGGATAAATTGTCATTAAATGTATTTTTGAACATAATGCCAAACAATAAATTTTAATTATTAATTTGAAATTTCCTTGTTCAAATATGCAAAATAGTAGTCATTTAACTATAGTTAATAGTGAAAGGAACGAATGCGAGAGAGAAAAACAAAAAACATAGAAATGAAAAAAATTCTTAGATTATACCAATAAAAAAGATTTGTTTAGATCTATTGAATAAGTATTGCTTTTATTTTATTTTTAAAACTAAGGGTTATTTTTGTAGTCCTAATTTCTTCATGTAAAACATTCCACATCTTAGTTACCCTATTAACAAATGAGTTCGATGACTTAGAATTTTGATTTTTAGATAATAAATAACATTTTTTCCTATTTGATATTTTAAAGAGATTGTCTGATTTAAGATGTGTATATCCATGTAGGATTCTATGTGCTAAAACGAGATCATAAGTTTTACGACGGTTTTCGAGAGTAGGAAGGTTAAGAAATTCTAATCTTTGTAAATATGGTATATATGGTAATGAACATTTTCTAAGTAAAGATTTTGTAAAGAATTTTTGACATTTTTCAAGTTTGTTAATTTCGGATCTTAGTTGTGGATTCCATGTTTCAGGAGAGTATTCTAGTAAGGGTCTTATATAACTTTTATAGATAGTAAGCCATGTTTTTATAGATTTTGATTTGATTATTTTAAACACAAAATTCATTTTTATATAAGCAGCCCTAATAATTTTTTGTACATGTTCTTGAAATTTAAGTTTATTATCAATTATGATGCCTAGATCGCGTATAGAATCTACTTCATTTATAGTTGTATCAAAAATTTTATATTGATCTTTAGGATTAGTTTTACCAAGATAAATGATATATGTTTTATTAATAGCTATATTTAATTTCCATTTAGTTGCCCATTGTTCAATATTTTTGATAGCATCAGTAAGTATTCTTCTTTCATTTTTAGTTTTGTGTATAACATATACTTTGACATCATCAGCAAAAAGTTTAATTTTTATACCATTTGGGATTATATCAGGTAAATCATTAATATAAATCAGAAATAATAATGGGCCTAACACAGATCCTTGTGGTACACCTGATTTGATATTTCTAGGTTTGGATAACGAGTTGTTTATTTTGACTCTAAAAGTTCTATTGGTAAGAAAAGATGAAATCCAAGTTAAAATCTTTCCTCTTATACCTATTTTATATAATTTATTGATTAAAAGATCATGTGGCACTGAGTCAAATGCTTTCTTGAAGTCTATATATACACAGTCAATATTCTTTTTTCCCATTATTGCATCATACCAGTCTTCTAATGTAGCGATTAGCTGTGTTGTAGTAGATCTATTTTTTATAAATCCATATTGATCATTACTAAATAGATTGTTATCATGTAGAAATTGAACAATGTATTTATTAAGAACCATTTCCATAATTCTGCATAAGGAACATGTTAATGCAATGGGTCTATAGTTTTCAGGATTTGATTTTTCTCCTTTTTTGAATAGTGGCATTATTAATGATTCTTTCCATATCTTTGGTAATATACCTGAATCTAGTGATATTCTGAATATTTCAGAGAGAACAGGAGCTATAGACGGAAGTGCTATCTTTAATATTTTATAATTTATATTGTCAGGTGAAGTACCATTTCTATTTGGTAATTTTTTAATGAAATTGATAATATCAATTATGTCAAAATCAATATCCTCAATAACAGGTATTTGATTGCTATCATTGATATCGTGGTTATATTGCGTATTTGTATTTGAAAAGTTTTCAAGAAAAATATCAGCAAAAATTTCAGACTTATCTATTGATTTCGTTACATATCTATTATTATGGAAAAGCACAGGGATTTCATTATTAGTAAATTTAAATTTTTTAAGATATTTATGAATAGAATTTCTATTTTTAGTAATATAAGCGTTTTGTTTTTTATTATGAAAGTTTCTAGTCTGAATTTTTATATGCAATGATATGCTATCATATAATTCTTTATATTTAATTT